CTTGCACCTCACCGAAGACCCACCCAAAAATGGCCTTGTGGGCCTTACCACTGGGAGGCCCTCGCAGTCAGGTCCTGCCCTGCGACCTCTGCGGCACGGGCGCAGCTGGCGCGGCTGACGCGGCTGACGCGGAGGCGCCTTCCGCGTGGCTGCGCCGGGAGGAGGAGACGGGGTGAGGAAGAGAGTCCCCTGCAATTTCACTGTCAAGATACACCATCTATGTACAGCTTGTACATGTGGCAACCGCTACATGTCTGGTACAAGGCCTTGAGCCTAGCCCATGCCCGAGATACAAAAGGTTACAACTGTGCTGAGTCGTTCACATCACAGGTTAAGTCATTCACACTACAACAGGGTTACACAGTGCAGTCTGACTTTAGCATGGTAGCGGAGCAGTGATCCCTGGTACACGATCCTCAACCACTACCCAGGGTGGGCTCCAACACGCACCCACAGTTTCAGGTACACAGTAGTGAGCAACATGGCGCAACAACAACGGCAACAACAACAGGAGCAGAAGCTGGAAGGAATCCACAAGTACAAGATATCACTACCACGGTTCACAGGAGATACAACACCCTCGAGGAATGGAAATACAAAGATGGCAGCATACTTAATTAAGGCTGCAAGACCCAGCATGCAACAGACTGCTGAGACAGCCAGAGCAATCAGTAGGACAAGTTACAAACGACCAACTGGACAATGCAGCACCTTCACAACAAATGGCAGAGCATTGGATACAACTGAGCAACAACCTACACCACCTCTTGGTGAGCACATCCGATGGACCAGCATATACAATATGCAGACAAAACATGCAAGGCAACGGTTTCGAGACACGGCAACTGATCCATGCCAGGTACTCCGTACCTCTTGGTGCAAGAAGCATTATTGGGTACCTTACACGGCTACTAAAACCACAACTGGATGAACAGAAGTTCGAAGAGAGCTTCCCAACATGGGAGTTCCAACTCTCAAAGTACAAACAAGACCACACACTACAACACTGCTCAATGAAACAAAAGGACCGCTACAACAACACCTACTGCTTCAAGCAGGAAACATCGCAACATATGCGTAGGTCAAATCGATGGATGGTGATCGAGTACTACAGGGCACCGATCGACATAGGAGCAACATGGTACAACAAAGGCAAAGGAAAGAAGGGCAAGCGCAAGGGCAAAAGACAGCGCAACAAGGGCAAAGGACACGGCAGCTACGGGAACAACTACAACTACAACAACTACAAAGGAGGAAAAGGCAAGTAAAATCAACAACAGGTTGAACAAGGAAACCCTTTCAAAGGACAACAAGGATATGGCAAAGGAAAAGGATACAGGAACAAAGGAAAAGGCAAAGCGTACTACAGCAACCAACAAGGAGGAAAAGGAGCAAAAGGAAAGCATGCAACAAATGCTTGCTACAGATGTGGAGATCTACAACTGCGACACTGGAACCTTCGATACCAAACTACGACAACAACTGGTACCACCAAAACCAGACACAGATGCATCACATTACCACAGCCATCACAGGCAGCAGATTCATCAACAGTACCCATCTTAGGATTACATGAAGTAACAATTGCCATGATTGGCACAGCGCAGCAACTCACAGAAGACAACAAGAGAGTCAGTCTTATGATTGACAGCGGTGCGGCTACACATGTATGTCCACCACAGATTGCACCACAATTCCCACTACACCAACTGGAACATGGAACAGGACCACAGCTCAGAACAGTGACCAAACAACACATCAAGCTTTTCGGGCACAGATGGGCTTGCGTTACGTGCAGCCGATTCTTTCAGTTACAAGGCTGAACAAGGCTTCCAACTTACATTGGATGACCGTCCAAGGCTACAACACATCAAAGGATTCAACAGCACACTGGAGAACAGAAATGGCCCGTATTTCCTACAAGCAGAAATCACAACATTGCCAAAAGGAACAAAGCTACAGATACACGGCACAGAACAAGGGCAGATTGGCATGATAGCCCCGACGCTTACACCACAAGGTCCTGCAGATATAGGATTTGCAGGAGACTAGCGGCAGTTCAACACAAAAGGCGAACTTGTCAGAGTACACAGGCAACACAGGAAGACACTCTTCACACCATCAAGAACACAGTGTCCAGTCCCAGCAGAACAACTTGAGGACTACAGGAGAACAACCATCAGATTCAAGGATGGTACGACGAACACGTTCGAGGACAAAAGTCAAACAATGAAAGAGCCAAACAAAGCACAACAGCAAATGTGGAAAGGAGAAACAGCATTCAGGAGCAAGAAAGGCACAACATTGCCAGAGACACTACTGCAACAGTTTGCAACAAAGACACAGCCAAAGAGCGCACCGCAGAAGGTCACACCACAAGTAATCCAGTACAACCCAAGGACACGATTGAGAGAGCAAACAACACCACCAACAATACATGACACAGCAGCGCCACACACCACCACAGGTGCAGCTGGACATGGGCTACCACATCCTTCAGAAGTACATCCTGGAGGAGACTACTGGTACAGAGACCCATACTGGAAGAGAGCACACGTCGAGCCTTGAACAGCGTTTTACATATCAGAGCAGACACACGACGGGCCAGACATCCAGCGACTCATACCTTAAAATACAACCAGTTGGAGAAAGACGCAACGCAAGGTTGGTAGAAGATGAATGGGCAACACAGCCAGCTAAAACATCAGGCTGGGCAAACTTTGAAGAACATCAGGAGTTTCCCACACAATTCGAATCAGATGATGAAGGGCAACAACAGGGAACAAAAGCGAAAGCAGTACAAGCACCCAAGCAACCAACACCACAGGAGATACTCGAGTACAACGTGACACACCTTCCTTACAGGAGTTGGTGTCCAATATGCATACAAGCAAGAGGCAGACAGAACAATCGCCCAAAGCAGCACAGCAAGCTTCCAATTATACAGCTTGACTTCGGCTACATCAAAGGCCTTGATGACAGCAACGTACATCCGATTCTCGCAACAATTGACATCCAATCTGCGATGATCATGGCAATACAACTGACTGACAAGAGGATGCTCTTCGACTACGCAGTCGCACAGCTACAGACACAGTGGCAGAAGGCAGCGCAGGCAAGCAACAGCGAACCACAGAGAGACAAGCGCTGGAGCGGCCTACAACAACCGAACAACCAAAAGGAAGGATGCCATCAAGTTTACAACAAAGGATTGTCAGCAAATGGAGACCACATCAAATGAGGACAGACAAGAACTCGAGAACGAGAGGATCCTACTAGAGCCGAGCGCACATGATACAGAAGGCTTGGATCCACAACAGGTAGCGCAAGGCATGAAGAAAGAAGTACAATGAATGAAAGACCAATCAGTCTTCACAGAGATTGATGGCAACACAATGACACCAGAACAACAAGCAAACATCATCGAATCAACATGGGTTCTCAAACAAAAACACAACGAAGTACGAGAACGCATAGTAGCAAAAGGTTACACGGAACCCGTTACAGACCACGACCTACTCTTTTCATGTACACCGCTGTTTTGCACACTCGCAATGGCGACTTCTCGCAATGGCGCTGGTTTACAACTTGTCGGTCTGTGCAGGAGATGTAAGTTTCTACATGCAGCAATCTCATACAACTTGGTAATATGCGACCACCGCACGAGTTCTACAACGAAGAAAACAGACACATAATGTGGCGGCTAAACAAAGCCATTTATGGCTTGAGATCATCACCAAAACAATGGCAAGACCACATTGCACACATTCTCACAGTCACACTTGAACTTGTGAGACGCGCGACAGAAAGCAATGTCTACAGATCAAAGGACTGCCTAGTGTACATCATGATCTATGTAGACGATCTCCTGTTCATAGGAGTACAAAGCATCATCGACACCTTGTTTAACAGAATTCAAAAGGAAGTCCTGCTGAGACACACAGGCGACCTAACAGTGGGATCAACAATACAGTTCCTTGTCAGGAACATCTCACATAAAGGCAACTACATCGACATCAGCTTGAACAACAACTATGTTGACATCATCCTGGAAGAGTCAGGAATGACAACATGCAACCCAGCACCGTCACCAGGAGTGTCACACATGAAGGCCGCAACAGAGGATGAAGCGCAACTTGATCACGAGCAACACAAGCAACACAGGCGGCTTGTTGGCAAGATAGCGCATGAGCAGGCACCTTAAAGGAACAAGGTACATGAGACACAACCTGCGATCAAAGATGCAAACACACACAGATGCCAACTGGGCATCATGCCAGACAACACGGAAGAGCGCAACAGGATTTGTGTTCTACTTCTTTGGAACAGCAGTACACTGGCAGCAGAACACAAGCAACAATAGCATTTTCATCAGCAGAATCAGATCTGTACGCAATTGGTACAGCAGCACAGGAGAGCCTCTACATCAGCAACTTCATAAGCAAGCATTTGAAGTGCGCACCAACATCAGGATACACACAGACAGCGTATAGTCTCATGGATTGCCTCGGCTACATCAGTTGGTTGACGCATGAGGGTTTGGGCAGCACGGCCAACATGAGCACATTCTATGTGTACAAGGTCAAGCTACAGACAGATGAGCCGTTTCAGAAGGTGTACAAGAAGAAGATTACAGTGTTCAACAGGCGTTAGATTGGACAAGTCTTGCAGTTACATCAGGGGTGTACATGGACTTTGTCAGCCATTGAACAAGCGTCGGGTTTGTTCTACAAGGTGACAGGCCACCTCACAAACCTCTACATGAACTACAACCTGACCAAGAACTACGTGATCCTACAGCGCATCATCATTCCAGTACAGATGGTGTTGGACACAGAGGATCCACTTGATCGAGCGCATGCTGGATTTTCAATGGCCTTGACCTATCACACCCTGCGACACAGGCTATATCAGTGAGCCATTGAAGACACGAGTCGTTGAGTACATCGTGCAGCATGGCATACAATTGTGTGGCAACAACATGGCATTGATTCCTGGACAAGTTAGTTACAGCGACCAACAACTGCAAGAAGTGGACAGTGCAGTTATCCTTGTGCAACAGGAAGGATACAGGAAGGATACAGGTTGCTGAACAAGAAGAAGATTACAGGCGAAGGTGCTTGATGAGTACATCAAAGTACATGCCTACGAAGGCGCGCCGCGTTTCATGGTACATTTGAACCGACAGCTAGGGACATCGTTGTAGAGGAGGTCTGCATACTGGAGATCAGTTTTACATGCAGCTATTCTTACATCACCCCGACCCACAAGGTCACTTGTGTGCAGCACAGTTTGAGAGGGGGTGTTAAGATACACCATCTATGTACAGCTTGCAGTACATGTGGCAACCGCTACATGTCTGGTACAAGGCCTTGAGCCTGGCCCATGCCCGAGATACAAAAGGTTACAACTGTGCCGAGTCGTTCATTCACACTACAACCGGGTTACGCAGCGCAGTCTGATTTTTACATGTATATGTAACGATATATGTGTATATAACCCCCCATGGACCGGTTGACCTGTATTTTTCCTGTGTTTTGTGCCTTTTTTGCTTCTTGGTTTTTGTGTCAAAATTGGGGGTGTGCCATATGTATATACGATATGCATGAATACATATGTGGCAAAAGCGATGACATCAGCATCTGCACTCCGAAAGAGCTTGAATACATCCAAGCGAATTAGAACAACTCAGAAATTTGTTAAGAAATGAAGATTCAAGAGTCCGAGAAAATCTGAGAAAATATTTTCTGGGACTCTTGAATATTGAATCCCATTTAAAAAATTAAAGATTCCAGGTTTGTCCCAACACTCTCGGTGTTGAATATGATTCTCAGAAAAACTTCCGTGAAATATTTCAATTTTGAATCTTGAATCCAGTGGTAAAATACGTTCGAAGTTTAGAAGAACTTGATCATTTTGAGGGCTTTACCAGGATGGATGATTCTCAGGAAAGTTGTTGTTTGTGCAATCCTTGATATTGAATCCTCAATCCAGTGGCAAAGCACTTTCAAGTGTGAGAAGAGCTTGAATGTTGTTTGGGTTTGGCCAGGATTGACAATTCAGGAAAGTTTTCTGTGTAATCTTCAATCTTGATTTTTTCCATCCAGTGATAAAATTCTCTCAAGTGCTTAGCGATCCAGTGGGAACACTTTCAAGTTATTAGTTAGACAAACTTTCAAGTGCTTTTGGTGAGCGGTTTGCTTCATGTTAGCTGTGAAGCATGTTGACCCTTTTCCAGGAGGTAAACAAAGGTAGGTGTAATGCTCAAAAACACGGTATTTTACAGTATTTTGTGAAGAGGGCAGGATCATTAGGGTACTATATATGTATGCATGTGTATAAATATATATATATATATATACATATGTATATATGTTCACACACCGTCACCCCCCTCTTGAACTACCTCTCCACATTTGTTCATCTACTACCTCCACCTTTTGAGATAGAACTAATTTTGTTTTCCTGTGCAAGAATAACTTTAAATACAACTGATTCAGCCAGAATGCCTGTTTCGATGTAGATTTGAATTTGAACCTCTCTTCCCTTGAAATTTCCTTTTGGAACACCGTCTAACAAGTCTATTTTCGGACCTTTCTTATGCTGCAAAAGGGCCAGGATATAAATAGCACAAATCGTATTTCGAATTTCCTTGTAGAAGTCCCTTAATTGTTTAGCATTTTTATTTGAGCTATATTTGAGAAGTAGTCTCTATTTAATTGTCATTATCAAAAGCTAATTGACTCTTGTTCGTATTAGATTATATCTAACACTTAGATTATATTTGGGAATAATCTCCTATCTAACTTCTTTTGTTAAAGATTAGTTGGAGTTTGCCCGAAACTATACTTATATTCTCACGTAGCTCCTATTTGGAAAGGATTTGCTTATACAAGCTGTAGTTGAGCAATACACATTTTTGAAAACTATATCCTAACCAAATTATATTCAAAATTCCAATTCTAAATAAGGTAAAATCCTATTTGGAAAGGGTATCATATTAGGATATTTCGGAGGACTTCCAAATTATGAGACTTTGGGGGCCCCCAAATGGACATTTCGAGAGTTTAAATCTGGAGATCCTAGATTTACCATCCCAACAGGCAGCAAAACCAGGGTCCATGGGGGGGGGGTTGCATATATATATATATATATGTATTGCTATGTATATATATATATAGATATATGTGCTTGCTTCGTTGAGGTTACTCTTTTTGGAATGGACCCACCTTTTCGGTGTCCCCTGGTTCGAGACACACACACACACCCACATTGAGCCCAAACTGCCACCATTTTGGGAGGAATCTCCTTTTTTTGGGACCCTCTTTTGGGTTCCAGGTTTGATCTATAGGGGAGTATGTCTTTTTGGAGTTGGTACTTGTGATGCACCACCCCATGAGATAAAACTAGAGCACGTGGGCGAGGCTTACACGGTCTTGTTCGCATCACGCAAGATGGCAGTGGCTCACCTGGAGATGGTTTTGGCCCAGAAAGTGCGGGGGGAGCCATTTTCACAACGTGTGAGACGTATCAAGACTTGGGGGTCCCTCGACGGAGACAGTGATGGCTTAGAATGAAGTGAGACCTCCTTGTAAGTTCGACTCCTGCTTTCTCTGCCCTACGTCATGAAACATTATGGTGAATTCAGACTTTCCAAGTTTGTTTCCGTGTTTTTCCTCCCTGCGTTCTGACCTCTTCGAGTCCTTTCTTCCAATTTTGATATTATAATTGTAGGACATTGTAGGGTTTGTGGGAGGTCGCACCATTCGACCCCAATTTTGATCCTTGTGAGCGTCGTGCGGACAGGAGGGCGAGCAACTGCTAGAGGCAAGCAGCTGCGATCCGCCGATTCGGCGTCGGACCTAGTCAGCTCCTGTGGCCCTTCTCCTCCAACTCCAAGAGGAGCACAAGCAAGAACCCACAGTGCCCTATAGCGCCTGATGGGGTCCAGTCAAGTAGCGTCAGAGTAAGGAGTCAGCACGAAGATATTTTTCTGTTGGGCTCCCATTTGGATTGCCTTTGGCTTTGGTCCCGCCTGGTGCTTGGGAAATGTCCACGGGCTTAAGGAGACCCCTCCGCACCAGTCAGTGAGGTGTTTCGAAAGTAAGGCCATTTCCAGTCCCGAAAGTATCATTTGGCCGCTTTTCAGGCATGGGATCTAGTATTTTGCACCGCCCAATGTATTTCTGTTCCTCCGGAAGGATTTCAGCCCGGAGGTGGACGTAGGTTGATTTCACAACAAGCGAAGTGAAGCTTCGGGTTTAGGTCTGTCATGGGAATGGCAGCTCGCCGTGATCATTTTAACGTTTGGAAGCAAGCATGTTGCGATGCCAGCGTCGGTCAGAGTATTGAAAAGTGCAAGTCCTTGTAGGTCCTTATGTCTGATGGCTGGGTTTGGGGTGGCCTGGGTGTGACGTGAGCACTCCTTGACCTCACCTGAAGCCCTCAGCTCCGGTTTGAAGTCGGCCAGGCGATGCCCGAAGGGCCGCTTGGCGGAGAATCTACGCGAACTTGGGGTCGGCATGTTTAAGTGTGTCATGCACCACGGGCAGTTTACCCTAGTGCTTTGAACGTATAAGCCATGTGCAATCATATGTACATATATATATGTATTACATATATATATATATATATATATAGACAGAGCGAGAAGGGAGCAAGACAGAGATATAGCTATTTTTGGGTGATACCTCCCTGACAAGGTGGAAAAGAGCGCATGCAGCCCCCAAAAATACACCCGGGTATAGGACATTGGCCCATGTGTTTACATCGAACAAACGTGAATGATGCATGGCTCCCTTACTGCAGATGGACGAAATCTACGCCAGGCACTAGTTTTGGATGAAACCCGCTCAGGATGTACGCTGCTTGGGCCAAGATGGAAGAGAGCCTCAGCGGCATTAGCCCCTGCACGCCAAAGACGGGGACGACGATTCTTTGCTAGGGGGTCCCTTCATTCAGTGAATTGTAGTGACTAGTGTCCGTAGAAGCAGGACATTTGATTTGGAGAAGCAATAGCTTCACCAAGATTGGGCATTTCTCCTGCCATGTTTGGCGAAGTTGCAGGCTCGCTGCAGCGTTTGCGAGTTGAAACCGAGCCCAAGGTTTTCTACGGCACATCCCCTGCACGGCCTCTCGGGGCGCTGGAAGTTGTAGCTCGGCTTTGCGAACTGCTCAGCGGATCGGGACGTGGCCTTCGGGGTGTCCAGGTTTCGTTTGAGTCAAGGACGGACATCGCCCCACTGTCTTGAACGACGACGCCACGTGATCTTTCCTTGGTAAAAGGGATGCCGTAGACCCACGCACCAACTGCTCGCCTGAATGACGTTGCGCGGCAAAACTGGTTTCCTTTTGGACAGGGGGGTTCCTGTGCACCAAGCCGGACCAAGCCAAGGCATACTGACAAGACTCAATTCCAAACCAAGCTTGTTTGTTAGAACAGCGTGGAACGGTCACCAAGCCATGTCATTATGAGACTTTTTTGAGGCATTTGGTCTCCCACACCGAACAAGAGCTGGCCGCTGATGAGGATGAGGAGCTCTGGCTGCTAACTCCTAGTTTTTTTTTGGTTGTGATAACCTGTTGGCCGACATAAATCCTCCATATATAAATGATGTCCACCAAAAGGCCCAAAGAAGACTCGTGTCTTTCTGCGGCGGATGTCAGGACCTCTCAGAGCTGCTGACTCAGTATCGGGCTGAGCACCAGAGGCCGGGCCAGGGTTTTTCCCGGGTGGGTTTGGCGTTTCCTGCACATTTTCCTGCGCTTCTTTCATTTTTGTGGGGCTTCGTTTTTCCTTTCTTTAACGTGTTTCCCCGCACTTTGTTTGGGCTTATTCTTGCTTGGTTTCCCTAGATGGCGTACGGGCGGAAGGAGGTCTGATGCCGGGGATTTCAGACCCTTTTTGAAGTTTGGGCATCTCCAATGGTGGCCGAGCACCAACCTTGGTCTTAGCTGTTCAAAGTATCCGGGCTGAAGCTGGCAGAGTGCGTAAGCCAAAGAAAGGCGCTCAAAAAGGCAATGCAGAACTGGCGAAGGTTTGACCGTGAGAGAAGGCAAGTCATGGGGAACCCGAGTCCCTGGCTTGGAGCAAGTTCTTCTTTTGAACTTAGATTCTGGGTGTCAAACATGAGCGGACGGGACAATATGAAGCTGACACGGGTCCCAAAGGTCAACCATTCTTTGGACTGGTTTCAGCCCGTGTTTCCATTGGGAACACGAGAACCAGCACCCGTCAGAGGTACGGAAATGCGATAGCCTCGACCAACCTACCTGTGTTGGACAGCACGCCGAATCGAACTGCCCGATTTCTCGGGAAAACCATGTCCACTTCCCCATGTTTGGCTTCTCGCAAAGTTTACCATAAGGGGTCGGCTCCTTTCTGGGAGTGTAAGGCAACTCCGGCAGTTGCCGTGGATGTTCTAGATATTCATCCAACACGACCCTCTTAAAATTACGGCACAGACCGTCCGCCAAGCCAACTTCCTGAGCGCTAGGTGCCTGGAAGCCATCCTAGGCGCGGGAATGACCGAAAGAATCCCTCAAAAACCCGAGCCGTTCCGAACGGAACGGAATCTTCCAATAAAAGGGACTCCCCTTTCTTGGGTTGTATGTCGAAACTGCAGGGGACTACTGAGTTCCAGGAGGGTGCTGTGGCCGGTAAACCATTTTGGTGGAACGAAATCTCCGTAGTATTGTGGGCTGTCATGTTAGATGATTTGTGATTCAAGTGCCATGTTGCTTGTCTGCCTCGCCACTAAGAGTCACTTGAAAGACCATTTCAGAGGTCAGATCAAATCCCCGCGCTGGTGGGCATGTGCTCAAACCTTCTGGAAAAATACCAAGAGAAATAGCACTCAACATTTTACGGATTAATTTCAAGCTTTCAAGCCTCTCGCTCCTTTGGCTAACGAAATTTGGCGCTTTCTCCTGCCCACTTGGGTACCATTTGCCCAGTCAGATTTTCCTTTTGGTCCAATCCGGTTTGCATCCGTTTTGATTTCAAGGGAACCATGACGCGGCGGACGGATTTGGAGCCGCGCGGGTTTCATGGAGGGCGCCTGGACAAACTCGAGCCTGTTCCAACGTGGGGGTGTCCTGGTTGAAAAACACCACTTGGATGGCTGCTTCAAGGGAAGCCCAAAGCATACCATGAGGCCAACCATTTGACGTTTCCACCACACACAATGGCTTAATATGACGAAGTCTAAATGAGAAGCTCTACGTGATGACTCCAGAAAGCCTTCTGTTCGACCCACGAAGGCATCGCACTTGTTGCCAGGCCTCGACTCGGTGCGAGATCGCGCGAGCCAAAAGCGGCACGATGTGGCTGCCACGTGGAGAGTTGCCCGAAATGCCTGCCTCCTCCCCGAGCCAAGCGAACACCAAACGAACAAATCTGCAAACCATCTAAGCACCACACCTAAGCATCAAACAACCTGTTTCGGCCACCAAGCCGCATAACCAGAGCACCCTTCATGGGGGGAACCCTTGAAGATCAGCGAAACTAAACCGGCAACCAGAGATACGCGCCAAGGATTCTCAAGAGACCATGATCGTCACCATCCCGGAGGGCTCTCGGCCTGGCGATGAGCTCACGATCACTACGGGCGACGGCCAGGCGTGCTTTGGGCTCTTGAGAGGGTCCCCTCTGCACGAAAAGATCGAGACGAGTTGGAAAGCCCGGTTCTCATCGACTTTGTCTCTGTTTCGCTGAGTCATGAGTCATGAGTCATGAGTCACGCTAATGATCAGTTTGTTCACGGGGAGGCGAGAATGATCATCAACTTCCTGCTTAGGGAATTGTCAGCTCAGCTGAGCTGTGTTGCTGAACTGCCTAACATTATACTCTAAACAGAAATCGAATCATGGAGCCCCAAACTCAAGTGGACACTTTTCTATCTTTAGGGGCATTGCCTGGATTTCATGTTCAAGGAGGTGTAGAACAACTCGCTCAATGTGTATGGTTTGTTGAGGTCTGTTCAAGATGTTCAAATTAACGAAGGGAGGACAAACAAAAACACAGGTCCATTGGGTCCATTGCAGTTTTCCTGTACTGTTGCCTACTTGCTTATTCTTCACTGAACCATGTTGTTTTGAGATTCATTTCCCAATTGGCTTTACCGTTCTGAACCCATCCTGTGGATCTCTTGAGCAGGTATTTCAGGGCGTCATGGAAGGACCCCTGTCCGGATTTTCTTTGTCCAGGCTTTTGTTTGTGCCTGATTGGCTTCACATCTGGACATGCAGATTGGGGAACCCCTTTCTCTGGATGGTTTGTTTTCCAACCAATTGGCGGTCCCCTGATTTGAAGACATTGTCAGGTCTGTTCGACCAAATTGGGGATGGTCCCAATCCGAGCAAAAAATCCCGCTCGCGCTGGGCCCATGAGCCGTGACATCCTCAACCAACATCCTCAAAAAATGGCGAATGCGAGGCCACCGGGTGCCAACCAAACGCAGAATGACCGCCTCGACCGTTTTTTGCTTGTCCAGTACCTGGCCTCGTGCCCCTTGGGCGTGTGGCTGCATTTCGGGCAGGAGATCACGGTGACGGTGCCGGAGGGCGCCGTGCCCGGGGAGGACCTGGAGATCCCGGTGCCCAAGGCGGTGATCAGAGAGACCTGGCCCAAAGCTGCACGGATTGAACGGAATTCCTGCACCTTGGTTTGGGCCCAACGGGCAGGAACAAACTGTGGTAGGCAATTAGCTTGCCTCTTCTGCATCCAATTTCCAGCAATGTTTCTGCTGGCCATATGCGAGTCAACTTGATTGATGCAGACAATTCGCGTATCGAATTCCGAAAAAGGCCTTAACAAAATGGAGGGTTACTGGATAAAACAAGAAGCCGGGAAAAACGATGCAAAGTGGGTCTAGAATGGGTTTGATCGGGAAAAGCCACCACCCACTAAAAGTGGGGGGAGGGGGCACAATCCATATTCGAGCCCCTTCTGATTGAAAAACAAGACTCCGGACAAAATCTGAAGCTGCGCACCCCAAAACTCCGTGCTCCTACATCCTGCCCCATGAACCCCAATATGTTGTAACTTCATTTTGGGATATTTGTTGTGCACCTGGCCACTCCCACTTCTGTGCAGTCTTCACTAAGAGTGGGGTTACGGAGGTGGTTCGGCGTAAAATCCGGCAGTCTATGGCAAGCTTGGAAGGGCTAACGCGTTTGCCCAGCTCGATTGCGGGAAGCGCATACTTTCACGGTTTGTTTCCAAACTACGACCTCCCTTTTCAGATCCCCTTTGTGGGGATGGCAGCAACCCAACTCCCCCTCAAGAACCGGTCGACGCCGATCCTTTCACACCCCGCAGCCTTTGGAACTGACAGTTCGACAGTTTGGAAAACAAGCAACCGTGACACCCCGGAAGCGGTCGAAGGGGCGAAGCCGACAACTTACCTTGGAAGCTTTCGGACAGGGGTAATTTGCAATCTGAGACGTTCCCTTGGAGCAATAATCTTAAAATAGGGGTACCCCCCAAAAATGTTTCGTTTCCTACCCTCAAAGAGACACCCATTTGACCAAACAAACAAGCAAGCAACCCCGGCAGGTGGCTACCAAGGACAGCAAGCCCAGTGCCGGGTAGCCCAGGCTCTTTGCTCCGCTCCCTCGCGGACAGTGACCCCCTTGAAACCATGGCTTGATCCCAATTTGGATATTCTTTGACACTGACGCAAACACATTCTCAGGGTCTAGCAATCAGTGAGCTGCTTGATAGCTGCTTGATTGTTTGTGCCTTGCCTTTTGCATTGCTTGCTTTGCCTTGCTTGCTTGGCCTTGCTTGTTTGCGTCCCCGTGTGTTGGATCATGCACTTGTTGGTTTCCTTTTTGACCAGCATCTACTGGTCAATCTTGTTCATCACAACAGTTCAGTCATGGGCACGCGGAGTTTTAGATGCAATTTGTGAAATGAGTTGGACATATACTGTGAGATAACGTTTGTTTGGTATACAACACCATAGGTATATACATATGTACATGTAAAAGTATATGTCTTTGTACGTCAGTATATTTGTATATCTGATGAATCCTGCATTTTTATTTGGCACAGCTTTTAACATAGCAAATTGGCATAAGAAATACCATTCAGGTACTATATGTAAAGGAGTTAGTAATCCACATGCTTCTAATGCATTATCTGGATGTGAGAAAGAAGAGAACCCGGAGGTAATTTGAAGAAGATATAGATAGATAATTCATATCTTTCCATAGAAATCTTTACTAATAATGAAAGGACAAATGCTATTTTATTATTAGTGGAATTCCTGTTAGGATTATTGGAAGATTGAACATGTAGATTAAACACATGATAAAGAAGAAAACCACAAAGAAGAAATGGACATAGAAAATGAAAGACAAAGAACCTCTTCAATGTTGGATTGTAAACATGATGTCCTCCACAAAGCCATTCTATTAAAGATAATAAATTTGTAATCGGCATATTTGTACATTTGATTCCGTATATTTGTATATCTGTATATCTGTATATCTGTAGATCTGCACGTACACATATAATATGTATATGGTTATGTATATATACATGTAGATATATACATATAGGCATTTCTGTATACATGTATATATGTATGCATGTATCTATTCATACACATGCCATGCACAGATGCCGGCCCGTCAGGGTGTGACTGCGGTTTCTGCTCCCTGGGGACAAATGCGTCCTGTACCAATGTATGAAACACGGTATTTTCCGTGGGGCAATCTCAGGCCCCCTTGATACGAAGCTCATTTTACGATTTTTCAGCACCCACGGAATGCAACTGATGCCCACCACAAGGTCCCTCATCAACTTTTGTAGTTGATGTAATTACTATCACTCTTAGTAGGAGGGTCGAAATCTTGGCATTGCTCAGGTAATGTCAGTTGATGCGGCAGCCTCAGAAAATGCAGATCTTCAGGGCAGCCATGATTTGTGGAAGGCCATGCAGAGTCTGGGAATGCGTTGAACACTGGAGGAGCCAGGGATTCTTCTTGAAGAGATCCAAGCTCACTTCTTTATCCAGAAGTTCGCATGTTTGACTCTTTCAGCTCTCAAACATCTACAAGCAACATGGCACCTGCTAAAGGTTCCCTTCAAGAGGACACTGATCATCCAGGAAGGGCAGATTTTGGTCTGTGGGGGGGGCTTCACGGCCAAGAGATGCGGTCAAGAGGGAATTCTCAGATGGGATGGGCTCCATGTGGCGTTTTCCAAGCCCTTGATCCATGTACTGAGAGAGGGTGTATGCCTCAGATTGCACCCGCCCCCGCTTACAATGTTCTGGGAAGCCCAGTTCTCCTCCTCGTCTTTTGGCTTTATGCCACACGTGGATCCATATCTAGCTTCAGTTCGAGGTAGAGGTTTTCTGTGAGAAAAGTATCCCATGTTGAGGCTCACAGATGCAGTTCCATCTTGGGGAGGCCGCAGGAAAACACCTCCCCAAAGGAATTCTGATCAACCTTCAGCACGGTTTGAGGAACTGCTCCTCCATTTGGTGGTTTTTCGGTTTTCTTGGAGATCCCTCAACCTGGCAAGGCGGGAGGTCTCTACCAATTTACCGCAGCTACCAGTCGAATTGCCCAGGCGGATGGCGAGCTCTCCGCGCTGGCCCTTCCGCCAGTTTTGCTTGGGCTTGGAGGGGGGAGTGTTTGACCTCAGGGCGTCCCTCGTCAAAAGTTTGGGGGGAAATTTGGTTTTGGGGCCACTTTCTGCGACAGCAGGGGAACCTCCTCCAATGTTAATTTAAACAAATATATTCATGGGATGGCCCACTTTGGCATCACAGATAGGGTTCGTGTCCACAGGCTCATCATGTCCAACTGTTTCAAGAACTCACTTTTGCAAGCCACCCGGGCAAACACGAGCGGGTTCTCCTCAGGATGCCACTTTTGGGATTGTTCTGAGGGGAAAGAGAAAGGAAGAACCCAGGAAGATGCGGAGATTCACAGAAGGGTAATCCCACTTCAACAGAATTCCGGAGCTATTCAATCTCCAATGCCTGATGTGAGGTATAGCTGGAGGAGGTTGCTCCAAGCCGGCAACAGTTGACACATTCTAACAGAAGTCAACTTGGATGGTAGTTCACCAACGCAAGGACCCAACTTTTCTACATCCAAGTAATCATTGGCCCAACGCCCATCTCTCCTTCGTCCAGGAATCAAACAGAACCCTGATTCTCGGGAGCTCGGACTGGCTTCCACTTTTTGTGGTGGAAGCCAGAAGAATGCAGTTTTGAGAGGCATGCGCCGAACTGAGCCATCCCTTATGGTTTCCATGTAATGGAATCCCAATGGCTTCATTCCCAAAACCCTAAAACCCTTGGTGCTTCCCTGTTGAGAACAAGCAAGTTGACGCCCTCAACGGTGCAACTTGGCACTGACCTACTTTGTGTCGGGCCAAAGCCTATCCTTGACAGGCGGCAACCCCGCGGAAAGTTGCCACACATGTGTGAACGTCTGACGTTATATCCGGGAAACAAAACCGTCGCTGGCAAAGTGATCCTGATTTGGAACCATCTATATCTCCATATATATATATATATATCTACTTTATATAACGCTGTCAGCAGCAAATTAGATCCCGAGAGTAGGGTTGAACATTGACATCTGTATCTTGTCCTTCTTTTTTGTTCCTTCAGTTCCCCCCTTCGCCTTTTCCGCTTAGGGCGGCTATCCGGCGCTCTCCGCGGATCCGTGGCCTGGTGGCAAAAGCGTCGTCGCGGGCATTCGAACGCAGCGCTTCCGTTTGCTGTAGAACGAAAGTCTTGAATGCTATTGGGTTGGATCTCTAGACTTTTGCTTTTTTGGGAAATCAAGGGGTTTTCCACTAAACCCCCCAAAAGTTAAACTTTTTGCAGGGGGGTCAACAGCAACCAAGAAGTGGGCGACCAAAAAGGAAGCACCGTTCAACAGCCAGCTGGGCTGTTCAAAGGTCATCCGCAAGATCCTTACCTTGGGTTGCGCAAGGATTTGGTAGCCTTTGTAGTGGCTTCATCATTGGGATTATGGATTGGGGCCCTCCATTTTGAACAGCCCAGACAAGGAGCATGGGTTACCTACTGCACTAGTGACTGGGCTTTCCATGGTGACATGGTCGAAACACTCACCTATTTGCGTTGCCTCGCGCCTCGAAATCACAAGGGTAGAAAGTTGCTTTGGTCTCTTGGGTTTCCCTGTCAATGACCAATTGTTCTAGCCTTGTGCCAGGGATTTGAGAGCAACCCAGATTTGGGTTACTGGAAAGGGATTTGCTGCAATACGCTATTTCTCTGTCACCACTGAGCATGGGGGACTCCCCCCCCCCTCCAGCCAATGCTTCCTGAAAGCAATAAAACACGCAGGGGGGGAGTTCCCAGTCTGAGGACACCCCACCCCCAACCCAATCGGCTCAAGGCCCATTGCCACCTCCTACCAGCTATCAAAGCCGGGAACTGAGAGGGCAGTCTTGCTGGGCAAGGTTTGGCTGAGAAACACCAAGTGGGGGGTCCAACGAGTCTGACGGAGAAAAGAAACAGAGAGGGATACTGTTGGTCTACTGTTAGGGATCACATGCTCTGAAACACGTTCAGCACGAGCGTGAGTCTTTGCGCCCAGAAGGGGGGCGGACAGGCATGGCGAAGTTGAACATGCCAGCTCGGCAAAGGTTGGGTCTGCTCGCGTGCCTTTGGGGATCCCAAGCAACAGACCCATGGAAGAAGGGGGGGTACCCCGTCCAAAGCAAACAACTTCAGCCTCAGACCGATGCCCTGACTGGCCCAAGAGTCCTCAGGATTAAGTAAGTTGTTGCGCCACCGTTGATTTGAATTTAGATCTCGTCCATCTCCAGCATTTAACCATTTCTTCGTTGACTTTAAACTTTATTTGAATAATGAGGCAAACAGACCAGAGTTGGTCAGAACCACTCCAGAAGGGGGCGACAAACAAAGTGACGGGCTCTCCGAGAAGGCGCATCCCAAAAGCAGTGTATGAACCACCGTATCAGTTCAGGTGGGGGCTCCCATTTTCTTCCATGGAGCCAGAAGTGGTATGATGCTTTGCTTATGACTTATGAGCCATGGAGGAAGTGTACCCTTTCTCTAAGGGTAGCTTCTCGGTTGGCTCTGTTTGGAAGCAATGCCCCACATTTGTAGGTGTTGTGGCAATGTTGATCAGAAGAGCAGGCTCCTAGGATTTCAACTGTCTCGCATTGGCCCCTTCACGTCCATCCAGCGGTTCCAACTCACCCGCGACCCACCCGCGAGCCGTGTCGGTTGCAAATTCCAAGGCCCTCGGGCATGCCTTCGGTCTCTGAGGGCGGGTGAGGGACTTGACGGGATCCGCGATCCGCCGAGCTGATGCCGGGGCTTGAAGCGGTTTGAAGGAACCGACAGAAATCGGACCCTTCTTGGGGGTCTTTGGAACCCGTGAGGGTTGGGCCAGCCCTGCACCTTCGTGGTTCTGAACAGCTTCATGGTTTCAAAAACCCACAAAAACTAGAGGGCCAGGCCTAAAACCTGTTGCCTCCGCCCGTGGCGCGGTTAGGCCCGACGCGCCGGAGCCGGAGGATGTGGCGGCGGCACGGCAAGAGGTGGAGGCAGAACTGAGGGCGCGGCAGGCGCGGAGGGAGGCCGTGGAGGCCCCCAAGCATGGGGTGTTTTTCGATACACTCAGCAAGGCCCAAGAAAGGGGTGGCGTTGCTCGGTTTTCGGGCAGTTTAACACATCCTCGAGCAAGACACCAGTGAAAGAGGGACATGTCCGGATGGGGACCCTGCTGTTTCATAATGTTGATAGATCGGGGCGCACAACCCATGGAAGAGGGGATCCTTCACTTCGGGCAGTTGCAGGCGTGGAGGCACTTCTCAGCAAGTCCCAAAGTCAAGTCGCCCAGTCAAACAAGCGACATTCGGCAGCGCAAAGGTTCATTGGCGTTGGCCTCCTTGTAGGACGATTGTGGTATTTTTTGGACCTCCAACAAAAAGGGGATTTTGCCGACCCGACCCTATTCTATTCTTTGCCCCCCCCCTTCCCAGTGGTCCCGTGGTCAGAGGAAGTTGCTTGGGACAGGCATAGGGCCTTTTGACCTGCCATGAGGATTGAGGCATCTTCATCTAACATTTGTCCTGGTTGTCATTGACGCGGCGCTTCGCAACAATGCATCCTTTGTCCAGCGAAAGCGACAACCCGATCCTGATTGTCCGGGGAAAGCCCACGACGAGAGATTGTTTGTTTCAACCTGTGACCTGGCCGTTTCAAGATGTGACCTGACTCCTTTCGCCAGACCGCCATGGATGCTGTGGGCCGCGGGGGCGGGTCTGCAGTGTCGCCAGGGCCTCGATGAACACGCCGAGTTGGTTTTGGTTTGAGTTTGGGAGTTTGGGAGTTGATAGTCGGTTGGTTTGGATTCGCCAACTCGACAAGGTTCGGTGGCAGCTTGAGTCTCACAACACTAGGAAGCAAGCCGTCTATGCGGGTATGTCTTTTCTGAGGATTCTCTTCTTTTGGGTTGTGTGAAGCGAAGCCAAAGGAGCAGCACCCAGCTTTGAATCAGGGAGGTACCTGTTTCACACTTTGCTTTTGTTTGGTCCATCAAATTTAAGACTTTGGCTTGTTTTTTCTGGTTAAAGGGAATCCAGAGGACTCAAACAAATGGAGGTATACGATGGCCAATTGACAAAGAAACTATGAATGTAGAGCGAGGGAGGGGGTCCAAAAAGCGTCCGCCTTGCAAGGGCAAGTGTGTACGAACCCATCGGGGGACCTGAGAGGTCTTAGGTTTTTCCCATCAAGTGAAGACCTCCTTCAGCGTAAATGAGGACAGGAGCAAACAAGCATCATAAAGAAGACTCCACTATATAAACTTTGAGTCCGTTCGAGTTCCAGCTCTTCGCCCAGGACGCCTGAGACGCAGCTGGGAATCAAGAAGGCGAGACATTTTCCGGCACCTGTTGGTCATGTTTGGGCGTGTCCTTTGCGGGGTCACTCCCTTTTGGTTGAAAGGGACACCAGAAGGAATTCTACAATTTGCGAAGCCCCTTCGGATTTTCTGGGCGACTTTTCCAGGCCCCATTCTACATTCTAGGGGTTCTCAATTAGGCACACCGATTTTTGTCAAGGAGCCAGCCCACCAACGCAGCCCAGGGACACCCTTCTGGGGGCCCGGCTTCGGCACACGAAAGTGAGGTGGTCAAACTGCTGGCAGTTGTGGTTCTTCTTGGGACATGGGGGAACTCACTAAATTTCCCACGGGGGGACGAGCCCTAAATTTGAGAAGCGGCCGCTCACCGTTCACGGGCCCGGGCCTGACGGGCCCGGGCCTGACGGGCCTGACGGGCCCAACAGCTTCAAGGGCTTGACGGGACGTTCTCGCCGGGCATGACGGGCTCCACTCAATGAACGGGCTTCAACGGAAAGATAGATCGTTGGATAAAAAGACAGATAGAACGATAGACAGATGGACCGATAGACGAGTGATGGATATTTTGATAGAAATTTAGATAGATAGGAGAGATTGTAGATAGATAGAAAGATACATTGATTGATGAGTAGATAGATGGTTGGGATTGGATGATAGATAGATGGATGGATGGTGGAGTGCCTAACACGACAGGTACGACATGGACAAAGACAAATCGGTAAAACTGATACAGATGGGTAGAAGAGAACGATAGACAGAAAGAAGATGGGTAGGTAGATGGACAGATATATGGATGGATAGATAGATAGGTAGACCATACATACATAGGAAAAGTCACGCAGAAAAAATCGGTAGGAGCGATATGTAGATAGAAGGATAGCAAGATAGAGACGGAGGGAATAGAGAGATAGACCGATTAGATGACATTAGAACAGATAAATAGACAGACAGATAGGCAAATGGATTAGACTAGATTCGGTTAGGTCAGAGCAGAGTGGATCACACAAATACGTTGGGAAATGCACAGATGCGTTGCTGGACAGACGGATGGACAAACAAACGAATAGACAGGTATACAGATGAAAAGATGCACAATAACCTGCGTGGATGAACAGGCAGGCAGATGGCTAGATAGGAAGATGAGTAGGCCACCAGGGCAGGTAAGTGGAGCAGACACACACAGCAGTATTGGCTTCTATTAGGTTTGAGCCTGTTTGCCGGTGTCGCTAGCACAACCAGAGCTCTCATTTGCAGCGTCTCTTCAAGCGCCCCTTTTCCCAAAAACATCTCTGGTGCGATGGGTGCGGGTGGGATTTGGAGGGCATTGGCTTCTGGGATTGAAGCGTTCGTGGGCATGAGCTCGAGAAAATTTTCTTCTAGGCTAGTTGGACGGATGTTGTTTGCCGGGTCGGGCCCGTGAAGCTCGTCGGGCCCGTCAAGGCCGACAAAAGATTTGAGCTGGGGTATCAGAACCATGCAGTGGATTCTCCAAATGGGCTGTGGGGACCGCTTTGGCCGCCCTAGTGGATTTGTCGTTCCACAGTATTGCGGGGAACGCGCAAACAGCCGATGGATCAAGACGGCAGGACAGGGATTTTGTGCGGCGGAACCTTCCGATGAACTTGCAGCCCGGGGCCCAGGGGCAGTTGAGGCCAAATGGTGGCTTGACCATCAATTTGGTTGGTTTGGTTTGGTCAGGTTGGCTGGCTGGCAGGTTTGGTTCGGTGTTATTGGTTCGAGCGTGACCACAGGACATTGTCCTTGACTTGGGACCCTGCCAAATGGCGAGCGTCTTTATGCTTGGCTTTGAGGTAGATCCATCATGTTGACAGATTCCCTCACAGTATATGCCAGGGCGAAAACACTCCCCGCGCATGGAGGGCCGGGGTGGTATCGATAATGTGTGCTGTGCACCACTAGCTACAGGGTTCATGACCATACCTGTTAACGCCATTGAACTAGGCGTGCAGAAGGAATGCAGCTGCATGTTCATTGCTTGCTTGGAAGCCGCTGCCGCTTCGGGTGCGGGGCGTCCACGTGGTGCAAGAACATGTGCATTTTTATCAGCTGGCTTGCGCTGGGTTGTTGGTTGTGTTGTTTGGCTGGCTGGCTGCTGGCTGGCTGGTGGCTGGCTGGTGGTAAGCGCGATCACCGCAACTCCCGAGTGCCAGCCCAACCTGGCTCTGTGCCTAAATCTCGAGGCAGCAGTACTTGCGGCGAGTGTCCACGCTCCAAGACATTGTCAACCGGAGCATCAAGGCCTTGGTGTGGCTGTAGCCTGGAATCCTGCGGTCCATTGGGGAAAATAGTGCCCCTCAAAGCAACCGGAACAAGAGGATGAGACGCGTCGTCTCAGCTCCTTAATGTGCCAACTCAGAGGGCGAGCAACCACCACCCTTTCTGGCGCGACTGGCATATTTCATCACGCATCGCTGCACGGGAAAGACCACATCCTTACAGACGTCGCAGATATTTTTTGTTTAATAGCCAGTTGTTTGTTCATTTTTGTTAATACCCCGTTAGCAGACATGGGTAGAGAAAGATCGACCGTCCGCTCGCGGTTTGGCCAGGTGCCGCAGTCGCGGCACGGGCTCTACACTGAGGACCTGCTTCTGAGGTGCAACGATCGATTTGGCCCAAGACGACACAAGGTCTTTCCGCTCAGTTTTGGTGATTGTAGCAACTTGCCCTCTGTCCCTTGCTTCCCGCCATTATAGGTTGCTTGTTTTCTTGCTTCACTTGTGTATGCTTACAGCTGCAGCAAAGTCGTTCGGTCGGGCATAGTGAACTTCCAATGGGGTTTGGTTTGCGATTCCCCACGGTTCCTTTCTTGGGGGGTGCATTTCGCTCTCGGGCCCCGTAGAGTCGTCTCATTTGGCCCCCAAATCAAATGGGTTCAAATGGGGGGATGTGCCCCAGAATAGGCGGTGTGCCTTTAGTTTCCCTGTGGAGCGACCCCCAAAAGGGTTCCAGCTCCAAACAAAGCTATATACCCATAAATATGTTGTTAAATATGCATATATGTATATACATATATATGTGTATATATATATACACACGGTAGTACGCCCACAGCACACACACACACACACACTCTCTCTCTCTCTCTCTCACTTCCTCTTAGTATCTCTCTCTCTCTCTCTACATGCATACATATATATATATATATATATACATACAAACATAAACATATGCTGATATTTCTCGACAATCAAACAGGACATGCCCAAATCAGCCTATGAGCAACTTTCTGCCTTGTTCGAGTTTCCAGTTGTCCTTAGGACCTCCGCGTGCGCGCTGCCACCATCCGCATGTCCTGCGGCATGGAGCCGCCGCATTTCCGCCCGGGGGCCTTCTGTGCGCAACGTGGGAAGGGGGCGCGTTTTTCTCAACATGACCGGAGGTGCCGAAACACGCATCAGCATGTCTAGAGTTGGTTGCGTTCTCCCCTGTTTGTGCTATTCGGCAATCCTTCTATAGAATTTATCATCCAAAGGGGTGGATCCACAGAAGCTGTATCCGAACAGGCCCTGGAAAGACCCCTTTTCCGAGAAACAGCAGGAACCCCGCGAACGCCCGAACACTTCAAAACTGTGAGGGGAGTTTTGGAGCAGCGCTGGTCTTGTCTCAGGGGACTTGCTGAATTTGGGAGGTCGCGCGTCCCATTGAGCGACAAGCCCATGCCTGACCGCATGGCAGTCTAGAGGGGGCGCAGAAAGGAGTAGGTGGCGACGTGTGATCCCAGACTGCAGCCTTTGGGTCCAGTCCCTCTAAACCCGAAATTATCAGATTGAAGTGTCAGCTGTTGCGAGTTTACAGGAGAAGCTTGGGGGTGAACATCAAAGTGATTGCACCTTGACCGACAGGTGGGTTTGGTCAAATTAGAAGGGGGTTCTACCTGGTTTGGCAAAGCTTGAGACTCAAACACCTTGTGTCGCCTTTGTACCCAATAGGACCATCTGCAAATTTGAGAGCCGTTTTTGGCCTCCACAGCTTTTACCCTACCCCCCTTCCTACCCCCCAGCCGCCCGTTACGGGCCACGAGGCATGGCCCTGGAAGAGTCCGCCAAGAGCGGGGCGCGGTGGTCGCAGATGTTCAGACCAGGCGCACGCGTTCGCGTTCGGCTTCGGCACGGATTTTTCGGGGTCGGGAAATTGGGAGGGGCCTGGAAGACTCATTACATGTTCCCAACACCCCAGGTCTTGAAATTTACAAAGGCCAGTTTTGGTCGAAATATTGTGGAGTGATTTTGGATTGAAACGAAGCCCAGTTGTTGGCAAAGCGGCAACTCCCCAAGTCTCTTTCCGCGAGTTTCTGGACCTTTGGTAAGTTTTCGGAGACCGACCCAAACTGCGTGGTTTCCTTTTGCCTTTCTATGACTGTAAAACAGCCAAGGTTGCCTTCAAAGACCCATTTGCGTTTCCCAGAGCTGAGCAGACCAGAGGTGCGGTGTTTCGCTGCCCACGTGCTCGAGGCAAAAGGCAAACAGGCGCAGTATCTTTAGTGTTTAATCATTCACACGCAGGCTCGGGGTGAAACAAACAGGAGCCAGAGCGTGTCAAGCTCACACCGGCTGTTTACTTCCTCATTTTCATGTGGCCGGCTCCCAGTTGCGTGGAGTCTGATGATCAGTTCGTACAAGCGAACCCACTGGCTGCAACCCAAAGCAGCGGATTGCTTGCGCTTGGGGAGGCTTCAACGACATCGTGAATGAGACCTTCAAAGTCGGGGCCAACGCCGCCGCCTCGCAAGCCTTGATCCGTTGTATTGCGCCGGTGAAAATGTTGCCTCGTGCCTTGCCATTTTGAGCCCCTTCTTGAGCAACCCAGTTGCACTTTGAGAGGAGTCCAGTCAAGGTGAATCTTGTCGCAGCCTTGGGGTTCGGGGAGGTTTTTGTTTGGCGCCTACGCTCAGCGTGTCTTGCCTGAGGCGTGCATTTTCAGCAAGACCTACCTCACGAACAAGCTGGAGCGGAGAAATGAACAGTGGACGGTTTTGAGACGCCAAGGCCCATTGCAAGAATTGTCAGAACCCTCAATACAAGGTTTAGAAAGCCACTACACCTGAAAACTGGTCGAAATTAAGTAGTCCTCATTCCTTTTGGTTACAAAAAGAACTCCCCTTTGTGAGACCCTTGCTGTGCTTTCGGCCATGTTGAACCGCCTAGACATTAGAGAGCTCTAAGCTGAAGACAAACAAGTCCGACCTCGACCTAGATGCACGCAACCTTACTGATACCTTGGTATACCCCTTATTTTTCAGGTGAGATTCTAGAAGATCCCTGGCCCTTTGTACACCTTCTATTGGCAATACCACCCGGCTTCCAGGGTTTCATGCGGATTGGGACTCTTTTGAGGCTGGGACGGAGCACAACAGAGACAAAGCTGTTGAAACGTCATGTGGTTGTTGAATGTATGCATCCTTTTTTGTTTCTTTCTTTGGAGGTGGCACACAATGTAAGTCCGATCTCGTAAGAGTTTCAAGCCAGATTTCGAGCAAGAGATCTTGAGAAATCGCGCCACAGGAGAGGGAGCAGTTCTTGCGGATGCACGTGAAGGACCGGCAACTTGAGCTTTTTTTTGGGGGGAGGGGGATTCCAAGACATGTGCGTGAGGGGCAGGCATCCAGATGCAAAGACAAAGGATGATTGCGGCAGATGAATTTGTGATCCAGTCTTTTGATGGAAGCCATGAGTATGACTCGCGGATGTTCTAAGCAGCAGTGCACGAAAGAAAACAAGGACAACTTGACTTGAGCGCCCAAGACTTTCCGGCAATCTGAGTCCAGGAACACCATGTTGGAGGATTCACAAGTAATGCTCACTTCTTCGAACACGTCAAATGCTTCGAACGTCTCGGACGTCTCGAACGTTTCGAGTGTTTCGATAGTCTCGAATGTTTTCGAATGTCTCGAAACGTTCTCATCAAGCGTAAGCGACCCAAACTGACCGGAGGGAATTTTAGCAGCCCAAGCATGCCCAGCCCCTGGCCTGGAATTCCCCTCCCCCCGCAGACGCGCGTCCGGAGGATTCCAACGGCATCCTGTGGTTTGAGCTCCAGCGGAGCCTGGAGAGTATCTACTACCAGCGGATGGACTTCGTGGATGCGGGGCCTGGCATGCTTTCCGGCCCGGCCAAGTCGGCAAATCGGAATGTTTCTTCTCATTTATTTTTACAGTACTCGTTCTTTTCAACCCTGAGGCCCTAACCCCCTTCGGCAATTTCCGGCAGACGGCCCACCTGTCCCCCAATTGATGGCCAAAGCCAATTATCGTGGCAACGTGTTGCCTGTCCTTGGAGGTTGAAGCCTCCGAGCATCATCCAGGGATCGTCAAAGGGGCTTTCAATCCCTGGCAAAGGCAAAAGTCAAGGGAGCCCTGCGACAGGAGAATCGTTGCGAAGGATTCGTGCAAGTTCACGTGGAATGCAGAACGGGTGTCCGCCCCGAATTTGTTCGTTCAGCGACCTCCATTCCCTTTCGGGGGAAGCCCGCATGGAGTGTCCCAACTTACGGACTCCCGTTTGCGGCGCATCCAAGTTTATCACTTGGTGACTTTGAGATCGGAAGAGTTGGGGCCAAAGAAGAGAAGCCAGCCATAGCTGAGGGGAGACACTGTGGGCAGTCGCGTTTCGAGTTCCGAGTTTGCATGCAGCTGGTGGGGTTCGGAGTTGATCATTGTTGTTAATCAAGCACACTGGAGACCCCTGGACAAGCACAGCACTTTCCAAGCAAAAAACAAATCGACGTGTCAACCTTTCTAAGGGATTTTGTTTTTCCCCTGAAAAAGACGAGCCTTTACCAAGGAACAGGTGCGCCGACTCCCAGCCCGCCAGGTGCAGATGTACCACCCCCAGGCCTGGGGCTTCCCGGACTCTGCGAAGATCGTGACCCCCAACCCCGGGGAGCCGCGCGGGCCCCAGACTCCCAGACCCGTGCCGTGTTGCTTCGGACGAGCCGTGGGAGACGGACTGCGCGCTTGTTTTGGGACGTTTCGGAGGTCTTGGTTCGATTCTGAGGGCTGAATCTTTGGAAGAGCTGCTTCGGATTCGCGCGACTGTTGGCTTCGGGATCTCGAACATCCTGCAAAGTCGAGAGGGCCTGCTTCTTGGTTTTCTACTCACTCACGCAAGTTACAGACACACACACACACAGTTGCGGATTAGAATTATGAATGCTTGCTGTATAGGGTGGGCAGCAAGACAACTCTTGTTTGGACAGGTTCAGGCCGCCTCTCTTTTGTCCTTCTGTCGGGACGCTTTCTTGCCATTGTGGGCAAGCCCTTAGATTGCCTCAGAATTCCGCCATTGCCATGGACCGGCTGTGTCATTGGGCTCTCCATTCCTTTGATGCTGTGCCGAGGATAGATCCCTTCCACGGCTGGTGCGCGCAGAAGAGCATGGATTCGGTCACAGAGATGGAGGAGAAGTCGTCGACTGGGTGTGGGAGCTTGGCTGGCTGGCGACCAGGTGTGTGCGTGTGCGCGCTGCACCTACAACCTTTGTTTGCAGGCACGACTATCCCCAGACCTCAATGGCCCATTTTGATTAAGCCGAAGGTCGCAGGCCTCGACAATTCGACCCCTTCCATGGACCATCGGCAAGTGACTCACTTGTGGCGCTCGGGTTAAAATAACAGGGGCCCCCTTAGCGGCGTCAAGTTGCAGGACGTTGACTTCCTCTACACCTTGCGCCTTCGGTGCTTGCCCGAGAGCACTTTTCAGGAGCGTCCAGCGTTGCGTGGGACGGGCAACCTGATGTCTCACATTGAGGATCGTTTCCATGAGGGTTTCCTCATTGTGAGGGACAACCCTGTGACAAATGAATCGCCCCTTGAACGTCTTGCTTCAGTTTGCGGTTGATGTACGCCCGCTTGGATTCGTAAACCGAGCGAATTGTATAGTATTCGGGATGATTCATCCAAAAGTGAAGGATGCCCTTTGTATTGTGCCCCCGCCCAGGACTTATGTGGGAGAGGGCGATGTTCCCTGGAAATGAGACCCAGTGACAAAGTGAGGGCGACTTTGGCATCTCCAGCAAAAGGGGAGTATTTACGCAGTTGTGCCTGTCGGCCTTTGTTTATCCACGCGTTTGCGGGCCCAGCAGTCCGGGCAACACTTCAGAGGCCCCAACTGTTTCCCCTTGTTTAAACATCTTATCTCACTTTGGTTCAGTGGATCCAGGGAACTAACAATTTGGCATCTAAAGCCATGCCCTGGGGTTCTAAGAGCCTTTCCTGGGACCGGTGCGTGGGCCCCTGCCCCTTTGCCGCGCAAAAGTGCCGGAGAGCCGCCGGCCAGGCGCTGTCATTGGGCAAGATCCCGGCCTTCATCCAGCAGTGCGCCAGGATACAAGAGCTTTGTCAGACCAGTTGACTCAGAGCTCAGACAACTGATGTGTGGCAGTCGCTTTTTGGAGTTCCGCAAGAGCTGCGCTCACAGCCCGTTGAAGTTTCAAGTGCTTTGGCCCCCTTTTTCATTTGGGTGTCGTTTTTGATAACTCGCGTTTTGGAGTTGTTTCAAAAGTACCCAAGCAGCCAACCATGTTTTTTCTTTGTTTTGTGGGAGGGGGGCACCATTGTGAGGAATGTCTCTTGGGGCTCGCTTCTCTTCCCATGCTTGTTGGCCATTTTATTCTGGGCCATGAAGTCCCTCCCCCATTTCCACGGTGGCTGGGCATACCTAAGAGCACAGAAGCAAGCGATCTGGGTTTTTGAAGTGGAGGCGTCGCTCCTGTTGTGCTCATTCTGTGCATCTTGAGCCTACCGAATGCGAGGAGGCAGGATGCGCACCGACACATGTTCTTATATTCAGCACAGATCTTGCACACGCGCCCTCAAGGCTTGGAGGCGTTGGCAGGGGCACTCTCAGTGGCACAGTGGGGTGTAGGCCACTTTCTGTGGGCCTCTTGTCCCAATGACTTTTTTGATTCCATTACTCCGCCTTGGATTCGGCTCGAGATTTATCGAAGAGGATAGATTGCGGTCACACAACATGGCGGGGCGGTTTATGGAGGCTGGGCCCGTGTTGCGGCATGGGGATCTATGAGTTCCACCCACTGGATTTTCCTGCTATGTTTCTGGCGGGTTTCAGCCCAAAACGGTCAAGAAAAGGTGTCCTCGTTCTTCCGCCAGACGAGGAAGCGATGGCGAGTCACGAGGGAGTCAATGGGACGAACGAACGCTGTGCGGGGGGGGGGGGGGGGAATGGGGCCCAGCATTTTGGTGGTTTGTTTGTTTCAAAGTAGCAGACAAAGGCTCCCAGTTTAAGGAACCACCCGTTGTTCCTCAAAGCACAAAAGCTGCAACTTAACACATGGTCTTTGTTTTGTCCAACTTCCCGTGAAGAAATGCATCGATGAGAAGGCATCAAGCCAGGGTTGCTATGCCTGGCTCCTGGAAATCCCATATGTCACAAGAACCTACAATTTAAGCATACTCGATTGTCGATTCATTCTTGTCAAGTCGAATTAGGTTTTCCCACGCAGAGTTCGAAGTGTTTCCCAAGAAGCTGCCCCTTCGCATTCGTGTTGTGCATCAGGGACATGTTTGCATTCATCGCACTCGCAACGAAGATACCTTTGTGGAAGGGCAACCAAAGGGTTTTTCCTTGGTGCAATGCTTGTGAGATACAACGACCTCAGTTCGACCCCATCTAGCAAATGCTTTGTCGCAACGAGGACGCTGTTCCGATTTGGAGAGGCCCCCCCCCAATTTGATGCATGCCCACATTTGAGTTGCACATCTTGTGCCGTCCTTCCCAACCCAGTTTGAATGACAGAGTTTCCTTTGTTGTTCTACTCGCAATCTTTAGGGAATGGCCAGATGGCATAGCTCAGTTGTGGGAGTGTTCTGTCAGGTGCCAAAACAGGGCTGTTCCAAATTATCACTGTTTCCGATATGCACATCAGTACCCTCCCGCCACTTCCACATTAGACCTGACCCTTCCGCAACACTGAGAAGGCCAGGCGGCCTGCTGGCTTCATTTATTGGTTTGCAGGATGCTCCCACTAGGAAAGGCCTCATTGGGGGAACATGGCCAACATCTCTTCTCCTCTCTTAATTATTTTTGCATGCTTTCCGCGGCGCCCCTTCAGACATAGGCAGGGCCTCCTTTTGTCTCCCACCGTTGGGCCCTTTCGCTCTAGGTCTCTCTAACGGTCAAAGCCTACGGAGAGCAGACCTCCTTGCACCTCAGCGATCTCGAGATCAGCCAGCACACAGGCGAGGGAAAAACCCATTTGTTTGAGGGAATCTGCAAGATGAGGGGATTTTGCTCAGAAGAAGACCAGGCACAATTCCATTCTTGTCTGAGCAGGCTATAAATGTTGGCGTGTCTGTAAGACTAATGATCGGGACGCAAGCTATGAGCCTCCCCGACAGACTTTGGACCGTGGCAAACTTGGCCAACCGTGTCTGCGCGAGAGAGGACTGTTTTTGGATCGTGCCGGGCTGTTCCCGGAGCCTTACCTGGGGTCATTCCTTTTTTTACATGACCGTTTGTCCTGAGGTGGGCGTTGCTTGACAAATGACGGATGAAAAGAATGCAGGAGCAGCTGCTCTTGCAGTGTTTGACGCCTCCAGCGATTGAAGCAAAACGATCAGCGCTTGACTTATATGTTTCAGAGACCGACAAAGGTACACATGGTGAACCGCCCTTACTTTTTCCGAACCGTCCAGTGGTTAGTTATTCAGCCCGTGTCTTGCAAAAAACACCTCTCTGGAATTGCCGGTTGGTTCATCAGGAGTTGCGCTCCGCACATGGGGACGCGCGTGCTTTTCGCACTGCAACTTTCGCAACTTCGCACTGCAGTTTTTGATTGACATACGCCCAGGCCACCAATCCAACATTCCCAACCTGCAGGGCTCACTATATTCTTCCTCTTGGTTGTCTTGAACAACGCCTTTTGCACGCCTAAACTTGTTTCTGAGCTTCCTCTTGCCAACTTCTTTTGTGAGCTTCATTGAAGTGGCTGCTGGTAGTTTTCGGACTGGACACATAGGGAGCCATGTTCACCTTTTGACTGCGGCAGTGCTTTTTAGGCCCGCGGAGCCCTTAGTTTTTTTCTCGGATGCTTGAGAGAAATCGAGTTTCTGCAATCAGGGGAGATCACAGGAGATCAGGGCTTGCTCCGAGCCCAACAGAGAACTGATCAGGGTAGAAAGTTGTTGAACTGTCTCCTTTGGTTCCCTTTGCCGGGGGCCAGCTTTGCTACCCAGGGTTTAGACCCGAAGGATTTGTCTTTTTGGGGGGTGGTGATGTTCAGGTATAAGAACCCCGTGTTTTTGAGCAGGACATGGTGATTGCTTCTCAACTTGCAAGTGTAACGTTTGCAGGTCAAAGGCTCAAAGACCCGAGGGGACATACCAGGAAGGGAACCTTGTTTTGTTGGGAGATACTGAGATACTAGTATAAGGAGCTGGGACCAGACTACGTCCAAGACGCTTTCTGCACCGAAGCCTTTTTTGGTGGGTCCACGGCTCGGAGGCTTGCTGCAAGACCTGAAGGCGGTCCTCCAGCGGCTGGGCGAAGGGGTTTCAACGACCGAGTTTTCCTTCTTTCTTTTTTTTTGGGGGGGAAGAGTCTTTTTTTTTTGGGGGGGGGGGCAGGGGATTGTGTTTTCGTGTTGTCCTTTTTTGTTCTGATTGGTTTTGGTTTTGGTTGGACTGCCGGTGCTTGAGTCTCCGGAGTTTGCAGCAGCAAGTTCTGAAGGCCCAGACCAGAGATCCGCACTTGTGATCCGTCACATGTTGGATCAACTTGGCAGTGCGGGATTTTGATTGTGAGTCACATGAGCCAGATTCAAGGTCTGGAGGGCAGGTTGCGCCCAACTTTGAAATTCCGGACACGAAATCGAGTTCTGGTTGCGCCCGCGCAAACTTTCGCCGATGAATGGAGTTGCCGTCAAGCCACTGGAGGCAAATGTGTCCCCTGCTTCCCCCCCCCCCCCCCCGGAAAATTCTAAGGGGCGTAGACGACCATTCAGCCACTGGCAGGCAAAGGCCACACTTGGGGAGTGAACGAGTGGCTAAGATTTTCGATTGTCAACGTCGGTTTTGCACTTTGAGAATACCAGTAGCAACTGTGTTGTTCGCCCATCATTGCGATTCAAGCCTGAAGGGGGTTTTGTAAGTGTCCTGTTTGTTACTTTTTTTCCGGGCAGATGCACTCCCAAGGCTGCTCAATTTAAGACAAATCCAGACTTGGTGGTGCAGGATTTTCAACGATCAGCAAGCAATCAGCAGTTTTTTTCATTTGTAGCCGTGTCTCAGACGCTGCGCCCGCATGGAAGACGGCAACATTTCAATGCCGCGATGAGACAATATCGACTTTCACAATTCAGCATATGAGACACGCTTTGCACGAAGGGCACAAGGCATGCCTGTGATCATCACCGTTTTGGCGCCAGAGATTTGGGAGATCTCAAGATTTTCTCTTTGGCGTCGATTTGTTTTTGACCACCCTGAGAAAAAACAACATCAGGGTTCAGCCGAAATTTGCCCGGAGACTCTTGAGGGGGTGTGCTGATCATGTGGCAGGTGTGTGCACAGTGCTGAGCGAGTGCGCTTGCCGTAAGGCAGGCATGGATGTGGCCGAGCAAGAACACTG